AGGAATGCCATGCTGAGCCTGTGCCATGAGCAAGACCCCGTGAGGCCTCTCGGCTGCGCAGCTGAGGACACACAGCGCCACACTAGGGTGGCAACGCCACTTCCACTGCAGGATGCAGGTTTGCAGAGTGGGCCTGGCATGTCTTGGTGTGGCGCTCTGACACCACTGGAGCAGTGCAGACCTACCCTTAGGACAGCAGAATCAGGCCCGCTATAAAGCAGCCTGGATTTGATACAGCTTCAGTGGTCTGAGACCCTGGCTCTGTGAGCCTTGCTGTCTCTTGGCATGATAGTGCCAGTCTCAGAGTCCCAGTTAGCTCACCAGAGGCAAGCCTGGCTACAAGGAGGCAGCCAGGCCTGTGGGACTGGGGTGGGGGTGGTGCTGGTGAACGGAGGCAGTGACTGCTGGGACAGTGATGGATGAAAACTGCAGCAGAAGTTGAGCTGCCTGCATCTGGTAAGACCAGCTGTTGGTCTTGATGTGTTATCTGGCTTCCCTGCTGTGGGAAGAGCGCTACCCTGGAAAGATGCAGCTAAATAGGGGCCAGCTGGAGGAATCTCTTGCAGACAGGAAGCTTCAAAGCCACCAGGAAGCCTGAAAGAGCTGCTAGGCAGTGCTGAGGTGGCAAAACTGTGCCTGATGATAGGGGAGGGCTGTGTCATCCAGCAGGCAGAGATAGTGTGATCCAGGAGGTGGAAGCGAGACAAGCTTCAACTGCAAATCGTTATGCTGTGGGTAATTAACCATACGATCAGGGGTGGAGGCTCCAGCTCTTGGACTCGTTGCATCAAGATGGGATAGCTGTGTAAGCCACAAGCGCTAGCGTAACCAGCAGGCCAGGGCTTGGGGAGGAATCACTGGGGAAATCCTCAGGCCATGTCAGACAAGTTGTAATGGATCTTTCTGGCTTCCACATTTAGGAAGCAGTAAAGACCCAAGTGATGAGAGGCCTTGGTAGGGCAAGGAGACCTTGAAGAAGAAGCGTGGTCCTATGACCGAGGTCCTGGTAGTGGAGGGAACACCAGGAGATTGGGGCCAATACCCTGCCTTGCCAAAAGTCTGCTATGCCACATCATGTTACTGAGGGTATCTACACAGACAGCCTCACGAAAGGGCTACCTCTTGCCTGAATACGGAGCGAGAGAGACCATTATTGAAGCAACTTTGTCCGCACACAGATGAGGGAGTGTGAGGCATGAAGCTTTGTAGAATAAGGCTCTAAGGCAAAGGTTTCCAAACCATGGTACACATACCCCTGGGGGGACACAAAACATCTCAACGGGGGTACATGGGAGAAATTGTGTAATGGCAGATTTAATTTTCATTATAATTGACATTTAAGGGGTTAAAATATATAAAACATGCTGGTGGGGGCACCTGGGCAGTTGGTTAATCTGGAAGGGGGTATGCAATAAGAAAGAGTCTGGGAACCTCTGCTCTAAGGAGCTCAGGGGGCACCCTCTAGTGACTAAGCACCGCAATAGCTTATTTATGACTTCCCCGGCTCTACCCAGCACTTCTTTTGTTAGTCTGTGGTCTCATTTTCTTGCTTAAATCCTCCGCAGAGTTTAGGCTTTGGAGAGCACTTTACAGAGGTGCCAAGCCCCCAAAGCAGCCACTGCCTTCAGTTGTGCTATCCTCAGCACCCGTGAAAGCCAGGCCCTCCCTACCCCAGTTTTCCCAGCAGCAAAGCAGGTTAAGATGTTACCTGGTGTTTGTTTCCAGAGGAGTGCTGACAAAGCTGCTGCCTTGCAGGGGCCAGGAGCCCTAATTAACTCCTGCTGCAAAGTGCTCCAGCATCCTTGGGCAAAAGGGAAGGGAGACCTGCAAAGTATTTCTACTGGGGCTACCACCCGCTGGCATTTGTACTGCTCTTCCACCCTGGTTTTGTTACTGTTTGGTCAAGAATCAGGTAATTGGTCACAACCCCTCCTCCTTCCCCTCCCAGGATGTTGGGCAGCTCATTAAAACCCAGCATGCCAGCTTCAAACAGCAACTACCCCTCAGTGATGGTGTTCTGTAAATCGGGAGAAGGGAGGAAAGGTTTACTGATGGCATGTGATGGGAAGCAAGGGTATCGGGCGGGATCACGGGGCTGCCGGGAAGGATTGTGCTGTAGCCTGGTCGGTGGGGTAGCTGGGGCAATGGGGGGTGGGTGGGTATGAGAGAGAAATGGAGGGCAGCAGTGGTGGGGGGGGGGGCTGAGG